TATAAAATAATATTGCTTATTAAACCCAACACAGAGAAAGAGAGAGAGAGAGAGATAATATATAACAACTATCATGTAATCCTCGAACATTATAATTTATATTTCGTTGCGGATCATTTTGCCAAAAATTACCCAGCAAAACTCAAAGTTTACAAATTTTATTTTTTTCTATCATTAAATTATTATTTTTACTAAAAATATTTTAAATTAGTAAAAAATGTTTAGTAATTTGAATTAGTGACTCACTTTTTGCTTTTGAATTAGTAAATTTTACTAATTAATTATAATTTATACAAAGTAAAAATTAGTAAAATTTACTAATTCCAATGGAAAAAGTTTGATGTATAATTTACAAAATAGCAAATATTTTTTCTAATTTCTTATTTTCAAAAACTAAGACAAACGACAACCGCGAAATGTCAACAACAAAAAAAAGACTTGTTTCCTCTCGTATGACAAAAAAAAAAAAAAAAAATAGAAAAAAAGAGTGGGTGGTGATGCAATACGGTTGAAAGAGAATAAATAGATTTTATCCTCTTGTCAACGCGAGAAATCAGCCTTAAGCCAAAGATACGAGAGCTTTATTGGTGCACAGCCTCCGTGACACAAAAATCTTCTTCCCATATACGTGTCCTTTGGCTTAAGTTTCCTTCCGCACATATAGATATATGATATCGCCGCCTTCACGGGATGGGGGATGTTTTCGATCGTTTATGTTTGTACAGCCTGATACATTGTACCAATCCACCTTCACTGCCCCCCGAATCCCCTCACCACCATAAACATTCTATACGACACTCAGAACACGTTCTTCCTATTTTCTTGCCTCTCAAAAGCAAAACGAAAGCGTCCATCAAACACATAAGATGAAACAATTTTGCTTTCTTAAACCTAGAAATTTAATAAAAAAAAAAGAAAAAAAAGAGGAAAATATCAATCACATGACAGGCTGAAATTTTTTACTCAACTTTTATTTATTTAATGATTTAACAATAATTATTTTTTTTATTAGTTTTTTTTTATTTAATGATTTAACAATAATTTTTTTATTAGTTTATTTATTTAATTATTTAATAATAACTAACAACAATTCGCGCGAGGCTGATTTCTCACTCACTTTTTTTTTTAAATAAAATTATCAATTTTAAAAATAATAGAACGTAAAAATTTTTAATTCAAATTTTTTTTTTTTATAAAAATAAAATATGAATTAGAATATATAGTTTTAATATTATTATAATTATAATAATCATATATTCTGACATAGGGAATTCAGGGAAAAGTCAAGAATTTTTATTAAAAGTTATGAAAAAAATTAAATTTATAGCATTCATAAGAAAATTCTGAATTTTTCTGTCTTCTTTGTTTGCCTCATGAACTATGAAATTACCACGAATTCTAAAACAAAACCTTCAATTTTTTCAAATTTCTGACAAAAATTTCTTTTTAAATAACTTAAATCTTGAATAACTATCATAAAATAAATAAATTATTTAATGAATTACTTAAATATTTCTAAATTAATTCAATTTTAAAAGAGTTGCGTTTACAATTTTCATAAATGTAAACTTCAAACGGTTTCAATTTGAAATATTATAAAATTTCAATGTTGAATGAATTCAATTAGAAATTTTAATGAACTTTGATTTGTAAAAAATTTTAATAATTCAAAATCTTCTAAAATTAGTTAAATTTGTCAATATAAATTTAATATATTTAATTAATTATTAAAAATAATGTTCAAAATTTACAAAAAAAATCTCGACAAAATCACAATAATTATCTTTATATAAATAAAAAAATTTTTCTTTAAAATTCAATTATTTTTAGAAATTTTAATAAAATTCTTGTCAAAATTTCCATTATTTTTAAAAAAAATTTCCTCATTTCAATGATTTTCAATATCTACAATTTTAATAAAATTATGCAAAAGAATTCAATTATTTAAAAATAATTTCCATAAAATTGTATCCTCCAAACATTTAATTATTTTCAGAAATAATGAAAATTTCACAGGAATTCAAATGTTTACAAATTTTTTATAAGTTTCTACTGAATAATTAAATTATTTTCAGAAATAATAAAACTTTATTGTAGAATTTCAATTATTTTTAATCACAATTTTAATCAAATTCCTTGAAAAGTGTAATTATTTATTATTCTAAAAAATTTTATTAAAATTCGTCAAAAGAATTCAATTATTTAAAAATTTGTCAATAAAATTCTTTATAAGAATTTAATTTTAAGAAACATTCAATTATACAATAAATAATTTACTTTTGTATTTAAATTTGATTCTCGTAGAATTTTCTAATAAAAATTGATTTGGAAATGAATTTTAAGTTTAAATTTTAAATAATAATAATAATAATAATAATAATAATAATAATAATAATAATAATAATAATAATAATAGAATATGAAAGTAATTTTTTAAAAGTTACAGTAACAATATTCTTAGCCAATTAAAATTTATTCTTAACCAATATTAGTTGGGCTACAGTTTTTCTAAAACGTATTTTCTAATTTTTTACTTTCTAAAAATTTTTTTCTAATATAGGTAGATTTCTAAAAATATTTTTTCTAATGAAGGTGATTTTCTAATTTTCTTTCCTCTAATAAAAGTAATTTTCTAAAAAATTTTCTTTTTAACAATATATTCAAATAAAAATCCTAATTAACAAATAGAAATATTATAGAAATTTTTTTCCTAAAGATATTTAAAATTTTCTAAAAATTGTTTTATAATTATAAATTAATTTTGGAAATTTTGGTATAAAAATTATGCAAATTATTTTTTTTTTCGAAGAAGAACAGAATATTGTTAACAAATTGTGATAAAAAAATAGTAATTTTATAACATTTTTTCTTCTTTTTCAAAAAAAAACATCAAATTTTGTATAAACAGAATTGTGATTAAGAAACGGAAAATATGTAAAATAATTTTTATTTCCTAATCTTAGTGTTTTAACAATTTTTAAAATTTTATCAAAATTATGGAATTTTATAAAATTTTAGGAAAATAAATTTTAGAAAAATAAATTTTAGAAATTATAACTTTTTAGAAAAACTTTTTTTAGAAATCACATTTCATTCGAAATCGCTTTTTTTTTAGACAAAAAGGATTAGAAAATTTTTTTTAGAAAAAGTTATATAAATAATTTTTAATATTTATTAACAATGAAGGAGACACATTTTTTGTTACCGCAGTAATTTTTCTTTTTAATTAATTTACTAAAAGAGAAAAAATGCATATTTTTATTTTATCCAAAAAAAAATATATTAAGGGTAAATAAATAATGTATTTTTCGTGTTATTTCTGAATAATGTTTTTAAGATGTCTAAAATCGAGTTATAAAATTTCATAAATTTCGGTCGAAGCAATTTAAATGCAATATTTATAGCAGATATAGATCTGGTAGCGATGAAAATTGATTTTTTATTCAAGCCCGCAGTGTATGAAGAACTAAATATTTATGATAGAGAAAATCCGTGAAACTTTACATATAGTTTCGATATTAATCAAGACCGGTTGAAATTATTTTCATATACAATAAAGTAAATTGTTATTTTTTTCGATATAATTTTTTTGTTTGTTTATTGAAATAAAAGGAAAATTTAAATAATTGATACAACTATAAATTTTATTGGTGAAATTTGCAATTTTTACAGATAATTTTTTTCAGTGTAAAAAATACATAAATAAGTCCCTATATAAATTAACAAATATATAATTAAATTCCTTTTTTTGGGAATTAGATAAAAATATCTTTTAATACTTTAAAAATTCATAAATTGTTTATTTATAAATTGTTTATAATTTATTTTTATTTCTCTCATCGTATTTATTTCAATCTTTCATCTTTATTTTTCGTTTCATTTTTATTTTTTAACATTTTTTTTTTTGGATTGACGTCCTTTGATCTTTAATTCCACTTTTGTCCTGTTTTCTGTTCACTGAGACGAGTATACACTTTATTCCTTGTAAAGCTCTTTGAATTATCAATTACGTCAAGTTTCTTTCTTCGAGAGAGCATATTTTATTAAGGAATTTACAATATTTTGCCTTGAAGACTCTCAATTTTTTTTTATATTTTTTGTATATGAGTTATTGTATGTGAGAGACATCGAAAAGAAAGGAATGGATTTTTCCAACAAAAAGAGTAAAAAAAATAGTAGTGGAATTTCTATTTAGAAATTTATATTCAAAGTATTGCACACAAATATATATTGTTTGTAAATTTTTTACATTTTTGATATTTTTACTTAAAGGGTTGAGTAAAATTTATTTTAAAAATTCTATTTATATGGTCAAATAGTAGTTTAGAAGTAGCTTTAGTAGTAAAGTAAAGGTAAATTTTTGTCAGACAAAATATTCTTATCTTCATAAAGTGTAAGGTTCAGTAGTAGAGCTACGATTTAGTCAGACAGCAGATTTACGTTGTAGAACGAGTTTCAGTGATAAGTGTCGTATTTAGTCAGACTGACTTTTTACTTTCAAATTAGTAAATTCTACTAAAAAATAATAATTTCTACTAATCAACTTTTGGCTAATTTTAATCATTTTACTAATTACTTTTTACTTTCGAATTAGTAATTTTACTAACAAATAGTAATTTTACTAATAGGTAGTAATTTTACAAATAAATAGTAATTTTACTAATAAATAGTAATGTTACTAATAAATAGTCATTTTACTAATAAATAGTCATTTTACTAATAAATAGTAATTTTACTAACTTATTAGTAAAATTTACTAATTCGCTTAAAATTAGTTCCAGTAGTAAAAAGTCATTTTAATCAGACAATAGTAATAGTTTAAATCTTGTAAAATAAAATTCAGTAGTAAAAGATAGTTCTAGTCAGACAGAAGTAATTAATTAATTAATTAATTAACATAATAATAATAATAATTATACAAAATATATAGTAATACATAATTATTATTGTATTGTGATGTAATATTATAATTATATTGACGTAATTTTTCTTTTTTTCAGAGGGGAAGCGACGAACTTTTATCACAAAGTGGCGCAGTCAGTAATGGTTCAGCGATGAGTCCACAACCACATCACGCCGCCGATAACAACAATGATGCCAAGAAGGTGAGTCAATTATTACCATTTTTATTTTGTTTTTGAATATTATTATTAACAATATATAGTGCATTATTTAATAGTATAAAATTACTTTGCAAATTGAATTATAATTTTCATTAAATTTTTAAATTAAATCAATCTGAATTGAACTCAATAAAATTTAATTCAATTATAGAAAATTTAAATAAATTTAAATTACACTCAAGTCTTAAACTTAATTTAATTCAACAATGAATAAGTTAATTAATTTTACAGTAAATTGTAATTAAAATAAAAAAAAATTAAGGTAATCAATTACATTCAGCCAAATTGAATCAAACTCAAATGAAATTAATTAATTAATTAATTACTCAATAAAATGTAACAAAAATATAAAAAAAAATTAAATAAAAAAAATCTTCATAAGAAAGAATTTAATTAAATTGTAGATTAAATTATTACAGAAAATTCAATTACAATAAACAAAATTTAACAAAATTGAAGTAAAGTAAATAAAATTGAATTAAACTTAGGTAATTGAATTAAAGTAAATTCAATTAAAATATAAAAAGTTTAAAAAATTAAAAAAAACTGAATTAAAATGAATTATTTCAACTTAATTGTATTAAATTGAAGTTAATTTAATTAAAATTTAATATAACTATAAGTAAAATATTAAAAGATTTTGAAAATTGAATATAATTTGATAAAAATTAATTGAATTGGATTGGATTGGTTGGATTGAACTGTATTAATTTGAAGAAAATTCAATTAAAAAATAAAGAATTTAACGAAACTGAATAAAAATCAATAAATTTAATTGATTTCAATCAAATTGGCAAAATTTTAAATAGATTTATGGAACTTAAATTAAATTCAATTAATTTGACAGAAATTCGATAAATATAGGTATAAAAATAATTTTTAATTGAATAAATCTCACTAATAATAAATTATATCAAAGTGTATTAAGTTTAAGAAAATTTCAATTTAAATATAGAAAATAAACAAAATTAAATGAAACTAAATAAAATGTGAAAATTTTTTGAAAATTGAATAGAATAAGATAAAAATGAATTGAATTGAATTTTATTAAATTAAAGCTAATTCAATTAAATCCTAAAAAAATTAAATAAAATTAAATATAAAACTCAATAAAATTGAATTAAATTTAAGTAAAGTGAATTAAATTGAATCAATTTTAAGTAAATTGAATTAATTTTAATTACATTAATGCTAATTCAAATAAATTCATTTATCGAAATTCAATAAAATTAAATTAAATTTTATCAAATTAAAGTAAATCCAATTTAATTGAAGTAATTTTAATTAGATTAAAGCTAATTCAATTAAATCCTAAAAAAATTCAATAAAAATGATTTAAACTCAATAAAATTGAATTAAATTGAAGTAAAGTGAATTAAATTGAATCAATTTTAAGTAAATTAAAGTAATTTCAAATAAATTAAACCTTTTTTAATTAATTTGAACCAACTTCAATTAAGTTTAACATAAATTAGCATTGAATTCAATTAAATTAAAGTAAGAGCAATGATTAGGTCGGATCGAAGAACCGACTCTGGTCAATACATAGAAAATACCGAAACCTTGGTTTTTCAATCCAGCCCTTCAATTATTTTACATTTAAAGTCAATAAAATTCCATGAAGCAAATTAAATTAAAGTAATTTAAGTAATTTAATCAAATTCAATCAAACTCTATTAATTTCATAAAAATCCTATCAAAAACGTTAAAAAACAATTAAATTAAGTTAAATCAAGTTAAATTAAATTTTATTAAATTCAATTCAACCGAATTTAATAAAATTAAATAAAATCAAATGAAATTTGACTTTTCGAAAATAATTTGTCAATTCTAATTTTTAATTGCTTATATTCGATATGTTTCAAATTTTTTTTTCCTCCCCAATGAAACTTTCCCTCTGTTTGTCTCTATGTGTGTGTGTGATTCGCGATTCATCGACTCTCTCTCTCCTTCTCTTTATTTACAAAACAATTTTTTTTTTCCCGTGCATATTTCGAGTAGACTGCCCTCGCGAATTTTTTTTTTTTTTTTTTTCTTTTTGAGGAGAGTGAATCAAAAGCCTTCCCCGCACAATTAAAAAAAAGAAAAAAGAAAAAAAAAATATCGATCTATCGAGACTGGAGGATATCGATATACGCATATATGACTGCATACACTGACCTCGATTGAAATATACGTCGAAATGACATCTGATCAGACAGTTTTTCGTTACTCGGTTCTGCATTCGCTTAGATCATATCGTTCTCTAAAAAAAAATTTTTTTTCTTTATTTGTTAAATTTCATGCGTATAAAAAAATGCATCTGGGAGGGGGGAGAAAAAAAAATTTAACTGAATCGAGAAATGAAAAGAGAAACATCTTCTATTACCAATGCGGGTGGCATAACCGATTGAAAAACCGCCAGATGCAATTGTTTTTTTTTTTTTTTTTTTTATTTTTGTACTGGTTTGTACGAAAACTTCGACCCCGTTTTTCCAGTGTGTGTCGTTAATCACGTTACCAGAGCGAAGGGTCGCGATAGATAAAATTTTGTATGCGTATGTGTGTGTGTAAATGTGGATTGTATACCTTTTTCTCGCACTAGTAAACCGGAAGGTGACGTAATTTTTCATTCAATTCCAAATACACATATTCGAAAAGTCCAGACAAAAATAAAAGTAATGTTCACTTCTTTAAGCCAAAACGTCCATAAATTTTAATATTTTCTCACTGAGAACGATTTTCTTTCTTTTTTTTTAAATTATTATATAGACACTGAGATAGAGAAAGAGATGATATTATTTTTTATAATTATAATAAATAATAAATATTCATTCTTTTCACATTTTTTTTAATTCAAAAATAAGTAGGTATCTATTTATTTATTTATTGATATTTTATTTTTATATTTACAAGTTATTTATTTTCCAGTTAATAAATTTTAATAATTAAATTAGTCTCTAATTTACACAAAGAAAATTTATTTATTTACCGCAAAAATGAATGAATCCAAATTAAATTCCCATATTTCCGGAGAGAAGAAAATAAAATAAAAAAAGAACCCCCGGTTTAATTGTTGAAAAAAAGAGGTTTATTCACACAAAATATATTAATTTACCCGCGAGTATAACTTGATTTAATTAATGAAACATTAATACAATATAATTAAAATTCGCCCCTTTGTTCTTTATTGTAGCTGCGGATTTTTCTCTTCTACCCAATGGGAAATGCCAGTGTAGTGCCGATGTTCACCACTGGCTTAGTACTCAGACGATTGTTCGGCGTAGTCTAGCCGAGCCTCGACAATTAGTGCTGGCTCAGTACAGAATTTTTGTTTCGCCAAAGCTTGGACAAGCCACGGCGGCAAGTGCTGGCTGAGTATAGAAAAATTGTTCACAACGCTCTTTGCCAACATTGCTTTTTTGACATAAACTTGAAAAAAATTATAAAAAAAGTTTATGAATGTTTATAAATATAAATTTATTGAAAAAAATTAATATTTTACTTTTCAGTTGTTCATTTTTTATTCTTATTAAATTTAATAATAACAATTTAACACAATTTTCTAATTTTGTAAATAATAAATTATTTAAACAAATTAAAATTATAAACAAAATTTAAACTTTAATCTCAATAATAATTTGGTTCCTATTAAAATACTATTATACTTCTTACTATGAATAAAAAATTATTAAAAAATTACCACGTAATTTAAGAATTACGTAAAATGTTAAATGCAATAAGTAAAGTAATTTAATTTAATTTTTAAAAATTTAGTTTAATTTATTTTATTTCAATTTATTATTTCTAACGTGTCCCAATTTTTTTCTCATCTTTGACTCAATAATTGTATGTCTGAATGATACTGAGATATTAATAATTTACTGTACACATGTGTCGTTAGCATAGTGGTTAGAGCGTTAGTCTGTTAGTCCGTAGGTCGTAGGTTCGATTCCCCTCGTCAGCAATTTTGTTTATTTTCATAGGTTTGCGATATTTCTAGATTCCAATCGTTATGTACTAAAATATGAAAATCTAATGCACACTTACTGTAATTGTTTATTATTTAATTTTTAAATGTTATAAACAATTTTTTCTACTTCATTTACTATATCCATTGTTAGTCTCCATCTTTAATACAATTTCTTTAAGAAGAGAAATATTTTATGAATAATAACTATTTATTAATATTATTTACCATTTTGTTGTTAAATTATTTATAATTATGAATTTACGACTAATTAATAACAATACGGCATTTATTGCGGCAATATTCTCAGCCAGCACTGGTCCAGTGCTGCGCCAGCGCTGTTTGGCAGCACTGACAGACAGTACTTCGGCAGCGCCAGACGGCGTTATCATCCCAGAGTTATGCCAGTGCTGGCTCTCAGCCTTGCCGCCAGTGCTGCCAGTGCTGGCGCAGTACTACGCCAGTTGTAAATTTCCCATTGGGTATTGAAAAATTTGCCTTCAGTTCTTTTATAGTTGATTATATTCTCTGTGTTTAACAGTTTTTTTTTACCAATTTTTTTTCTATTTTTAATTTTCTTTTTTTTACTAAATAAAAAAGATCAGAGAAACTTTGATCATATTTAATGAAAAGAGTTTTTAAATATTTTTTCCTTTGAAAAAATTTCGTTGAATTTTTTTGTTTTTTTTACTTTTTGTGTATACCAGTAAAAACAATACATCTTTATAACGTTAAAGTTTTATATTTCAATTTTTTTTTCTCTTCTGCTGTTGCCTCTTCTTTTTCTTCTTCTTGCTTTTTTTTTTGTCACACAATCTTTGAGAGAATTTGCATTGCCCAATAATATTAACAAATTAATATTATTATTATCATTTTGCTAAATAAAAAAACTGAGGAATTTCATTTTTTGTGCTAAATTATTAACAAATTAGTTGTTAATTAATTATTATTTAATACAAGTTTCATAATAAAATTTCTCGAAAAAAGTATAAAAAAAAAAAAAATCTCTTGTAGATATTCAAACCAAAACTTG